GTCTCCCCCCAGAGGTGGAATTGATCTGCCCATGCAAGGGGCTGGGCTAAGTAACCTGCTCAGGTTCGCTCTCAGGGGCTTTTGTTCCCTGAACACTTTCCATAGAGCTCTGGAGGATGGGAATGAAAATGAGGGCCTCCCAATCTCCAGCCCAGAGGAGCTGATAGCTCAGGACCCCACTCCTCAGTGTGCCCTTGTGGAAAAGCGCCCAGTCACTCCTGTCTCCCTGGTCTCTGGCCATGATCCAAGCTCACTCAACCTATGACTGAGTATTCCTGTCTCTGGCGCACAGCCCTATTTAGAGTTTCGAAACCCAGCAGATTCCTGCCTCCAGAGAAGGAAGGTGAATCTCCCCAGATCTGTCACTTGCGGGGTCCCTGCTCAAAGAGCAGTGGTCTGACTGTGCCATGGATCACAGTTTAATGTAACCCTGACCCGAGAGCTCAGTCCTTGGCTCCGTCTCTGTAGCCAGCTTCCCTGCTCTGATACCTCCAAACTCTGCTACACTCAGACACCCCTGATATTTCAGTGACCCCGTGGGACCTGAGATCATGCTGTCCCCGTGAGGTCTCCACCCCGCTTAGCCTCTGAAGTGATGTCCCTCAGTGGAGCAGACTTTTAAAAGTTTGAATTTTGTGCTCTGTTGCTCCACAACTTGCTGGGAGCTGGCCCCTCCCCCCATGGTCTATCTTCCTGTCGCTTCACATTCATTCTCTGCATGACCTACCTTTCAGAAAGTGGTCGATTTTCTGTTTCTAGAATTGCTGCTCTTTTTCTCTTCAATCTCCTCTTGGGTTTGTAGGTGTTCAGAATGGTTTGATAACTATCTAGCTGAACTCCTGAGACCTGGTACCATCTCAGTCTGCTACTCCTCTGCCATCTTGACTCCCCCCTCCACCCACTTATTTTTGTGATAGTTTTTATTTCTCAATACTATTAGCTTAAAAAATCTGATTACAAAGTTTATTGCCAAAAATTTGAGAAACAAAGACAAAGACACAAGATTGAAGTTACCCATAATCTCTATGCCTAAATAACTGCTGAAAATCTTTTTTCTGATCATATTTGTAAGTAATTTTAATGGTGTCATATTTACACATCCTTTTGTAACTTGTTTTTAAACTTCATACGTTTGGCCATTGAACATTTTCTTTTGACTTATTCCGTACTCTGTTGCAAAATCATGAATTGCCCACTTAAGTCCATTTTACCAGCTAAACTAGGAGGAACCTCTCATAACAATGTGGAAGGTTTTCTAAAGTCAACGTGGCTGCATTTCAATATAAGTGTTTATCAGAGATAATTTTTTAACATGTTCTATAGTCTCAGGCATGATGCTTGGTGCTTGATTGTGGATCTAAGCAATTTGGTGGAAGTTACTCAGTTTGATGGGTTGTGAGCAAGAGAAGGCATGGGTTATCTGGTCTTGTGGTTAGATGGCTCCTCTTGGTGTATCTGAAAGGAGACCTGTAATAGTTCTAGAATGTGCTCAAGGCTGGTTTTTCTAGTAGGGTTATGGCACTGGAGAAAGAAATCTGTTAGAGGCTCATTAACTTCCACAGTAGCAAAGGAATCTTACAGCCAGCTGGAGAACTCCTACAGCAATTGGGACATATGCCTTTTGTTGATGTCTGAAACCATAGTGACTGCATGTTGTGGAAATTTAAAAACTCAGCAGCCAGTTGGAAAATAAAGAAATCAGGACAATAGAAGTAGTGTTGGGATTGTGGGAAAATGGGCGCCAGCCCTCTGTCTTGAGGGGCACTCACTGTTACTTTCCATGGGTCTGACCAGCCTCCTGACCAGAGCGCTGGGCTGACACACTAGTGAGAAGGGAGGGGACAGTCCTCCTGGAGGCCACATTAACTCTTAAGAGTAAGACACCCATTGTTGGGGGCCTTGTTGTTTCTGCTATGACTGCATGGGCTAGGAGAGGCCATGAGAAGCATTTGAAGTGTATTTGAAAGGAGATAGAGGACAAAGAAGAGGAATAAGCCAAGGTTAGTTCTGGGGTCTCAAACTTAATGACTAAGAGGAAGATGGGATACATTTGCAGGGGCCACTGGGTCACAGAACTGGAGCAAAATGGACAGAGGTGGGTGGATACATTTTGGAGTGGTTGACAAAGATGGTATTGAACTGGTGAGAACAGGAAGATTTTTGAGAGCTCTGATGAGAGAAAGGAGAGAAGACTGTCCAGGTCTGGCTGTGGAGCCCCACATTTGAAGAAGCAGGGCAACATCAGGAGGAAAACAGACTCACAGCCAGACGTTCTGGGACCACTGGGGGTCAGTCCCCACATCACCATTGAAGAGCGGTGTGACCTCAAGCAAGCTATTCAAACTCTCCGAACCTCGGCCTGCCTGTTTGCAAAATGGAGACAGTAAAGTAGGGTGTTTATTAGATTCTTGTGGATTATCATTTCTAGAGATATGAATTCCTTGATAAATAAGGCTCAAATGATAAAGGAGCAAGTAGAAGGCTGATTTTAAAGGGAGAAAATAATGTATCCTTTTGAAAACAAGGCTTCAAGAAATGAATGTGCCTTCATTACAGAGAACATTTGCTGAAGTGTTTTTTCATTCCACTAATTATTTCCACTGCTGCCTACCTACCTCCAACACCGTGCAAGCCGTTTAACATATTTTTCCCCTAATTTAGATGTCATTCCCACTTTCTGAATTGCGAGTTGGTGATGGGCATCTTGGTGCATTAGTTATCTAGCCCAGTACTTGGCCCATACGGTCACCCAGCACGTGTGGAACATGTTGCTTCTTTAGGGGCAAGAATAGATCTATTAAATCTAAAAATAGATCGGTCATCTTAGAGGAGTACACATGTAGGAGGATCCCTTCCTTATGTAGGTTTCTCCCTTCTCTTTCCCAAGCAGCTCTTAGAGCTTTCCTGCTCTGGAGGAGAGCTGGGGAGAGATGCCCCTTCTCCTGGGACCTCAGACCTGACTGGTAACCAGCCCTGCCTCCATTTATATGAGGAAGGAGCCCTGGGAAGGCAGCCTCAGATCTGCCAGAAGAACAGTCAAATCGTGTCCCTAAATAGGGGCAAAACTGATGAGCAACAGCCCTGGTGACAGATTTTTACTAGTAGTTAGGCTGTGTCTCTACAAACTGAGTGCTGGTATCCTCTCAGATTTCATATATTAAAGTCCTAACCCCCAAATGTGACAGTATTTGGAGATACGTCCTCTGGGAGGTAGTTTGGTTTAGATGAGGTCATGGTGGTAGGGCCCCTATGATGGGCCCTGGGCCCTTGTCGTAAGAGGAAGAGACAGCAGTGTGCTCTCTCTCAGCCAGGTGAGGGTGCAGTGAGAAGGTGGCCACCTCCAAGCCAGGAAGAAAACCCTCCCTGTAACCCAGCAATGCTGGCACCCTGACCTTGGACTTCCCAGCCCCCAGAACTGTGAGAGAGGAGTATTTGTTGTTTGGGTGACCCAGTCTGTGGTAGTTTGTTGTAGCGGTCCAAACTGATGAAGACACTCACACAAATTTTTTATGCTTGAAAGAATTATAGGAAAGTCACTCATACATTCAGTTATGAGAACAGATAGTTTTCCAAATCCCCATGAAAATCGTACTACCAATAATACGGCCAGTTACTGATTGAGGGTTTGCCACATGGCCTGTTCTGGGGTAAAGCTCCCCAAACATTATTGGACTCACTCACTCATCACGACCCTCTTCTGAGACTGGTGATATTCCCACAACCCCTTTTACGGGGAAGGACCGGAAGCTGAGGGAGGCTAATTCATTTGGTCAAGGTCACAGAGCAGTAATTAGAGCAGTATAGCCTGGAACCCCAGAGGACTTCTGATTTAACCCCAGGACTTAAAAACTTAAAAAATTATATCACTGTGTCTGTGTCCACAGACGACAAAGTGATTGGAGGCCATGTGGACAGATTTTTTAAAAAAGATTTTATTTAGGGGCACCTGAGTGGCTCAGTGGGTTAAAGCCTCTGCCTTCAGCTCAGATCATGATCTCAGGGTCCTGGGATCGAGCCTTGCATCGGGCTGTCTGCTCAGTAGGGAGCCTGCTTCCCCCCCACCCCTCCTCTGTCTGCCTCTCTGCCTACCTGTGATCTCTGTCAAATAAATAAGTAAAATCTTTAAAAAAATATTTTATTTATTTATTTATTTTGAGATAGAGAAAGAGAGCACAAGCACAGGGGCTGGGGGAGCGGGCAGCAGAGGCAGAGGGAGAAGCAGGCTCCCTGCTGAGTGGAGAGCCCAACATGGGGCTCAATCCCAGGACCTGGGATCATGACCTGAGCAGAGGGCAGCAACTTCATTTACTGAGCCACCCAGGTGCCCCCAGATATTTTTAATAGAATGAGACATGGCCACTACCCATATGGCCCTATTGCTCTACACATGGCAGGTGTGTAGACACTGTGATGAAGGGGTCTGAAGGAGAGGCTGGATGGTGGCCAACCCTTGTCGTAGGTAGTAAAGAATCAGGGATCACTGATTTTGATTTGTAACTTTTCAATAATTGATGGAAACAAGAACGAATTTTAAAAACCTACTAGGACTCATCCATCTGGCTTTCCCAGAAATAGACGCATAACTGTGGCATTTGCTTCTGTAACCTCTCATTAATTTTTCAGCGTTTGCAATGTGTGTGGCGTTGATCACAACCTGGGGCTTATGCTTGTGCAAGCCGGCTTCAACAAGCGAGTTGTTTCCTAAGTGGTATCAAGTGATAAATTGGGAGTTGGAAAGCATCACAATATTAGGACTGCTGTTTTTTTCCACAGAGCTCATTAGCCACTGGCAATTAGCATCTTTCACTGCACAAAATGGCATCATTTGGCATGTTCCGCAGCCAGTACCGTGGATGTGACTATATCATTGAAACTCTACGTGCCATCTGCTATCACGCAAAGATAAAGTAGGATGAAGGAGCTCTTCAGCCGTCCCTTAGTTTCTTAGCTACAGAGAGGCTCCATTACAACAAAAATGACAGTGCGCAACACGGCACCACTCCTCTCTTGGAGAAAGGGCATCTTGGCTTTCTGGATTCTGCTGAGTGAAATTAAAGAAAATATATTAGTACTTCAAGCAACTGGTGACCCATCAGTTCAGTGCTTTGCAAAGCCTGCTTTTTCAAATGAGCCCAACAGAATTTCTCCTGCTTTAATTCTCCCCTCGAGAGTCACAGAATGAATATTTATATTTATGCAGATGAGCAAATAAAGCAATGTCGCCACTGAGAAGTTGGCATCCTATTGCTATCTTGAGGTGATACTGTTCTAATTTTTAACTAGAGTATTTTTTAACTTTCTTTCCCCTATCAATTAAAGAGAGATAAAATGTAATAAAGATGTTCGATAATTTCCTTTAAGACAGAATGTTATGTTTACGCTGTGCTTCCATAAACCATGTCCGCATATGCAAATTCAGTAGCCTGACCAAAAGTGATACCCAGAGATTTCATTGACCTGATAATCCCCAGGTGTGATCAGGAAGACCCCCTAAATAGGGGCCATCAATACATGTTACCCATCTTTATTCCGGGGCTTTTTGTCGCTGTTGGCCATCATCCAAAATAGTCCTTAGGAGTTTCTTTAAGTTGCAAAGAAAGTCATCATCCAAGAACACACAACACATTTTTGTGATTATCAGAAAGTAGAGTTTAGATTCTGGTCTCTTGATTTTCTTATGTCATCTTCTTCAACGTGTCATGGTCCTCAGAAAAACCTGGCAACTGTCTCTTAGGTTTAGGAGAAATGAGAAAGGGTCTCCTGGCTCCATATATGAAATGGTTGTCTTCTGGGTCTTTCTCCTTTCTGTTAAATTCATCAGGAGACTCTGCATAACATTTCCATCCAACGAAAGCAATTACCCAAGCAGCATTTTACTACAAAGGATGTGCTTGAGGGACCTTCCCTCCTGGAACCCTGAAAGCAACCTGTCCAACTGATTATCTCACTCATTCTGACCACCTTATTGATCTCTTTAAAGGGGAGATTAGGTGGAATGTCCCTCGGGGACAAACAACTTCACCACTCTCAGCCCTCAGAGGCCTGGTGGTAAATTTTTATGTCCAATTTGAACTGCAGTAATTGGGGTCTCTGGTCTTAGCAATTTCTCTCTGCTTTTCTAACTTTGGGGATAATTTGGGGGCCTCGGGAAAGATTCATGAGTATTCAGAAGGAGATTTCAAGTCTTTATAGAATCCACAATCTTATTATCTCTATTAAATATTAAGTCTTGCAGGATCAGAATCTCTATTTCAGCAATATCTTTAGGTGACACATTTGCACATCAAAGCTTGAGAAGCACCGCATTCCCCCTGATTTGGGGACTTTGGGACTCTATTCTAAACTCCTGGAGAAGGGGGCTAGAGAGGGTTATGGTGGAGGATGTTGTGTATCTTTTACTATGTGGTATTTACTATGAGGTTAAGCACACAACAAAGAATAATTAATATGATTTCAAAGCACTGTGCGTGGTGCAAACTTTCCTGGGCTCCTTCCAGACATAAATGCAGGCAGAGCCAGGTCCTGCTCAGGTCTGAGGTCCCACGGGAAAGGGCATCTCCCACCCGCTCTCCTGAGCAGGGCTGGATGGGAGATAGAAATAGGACTTTGTGACTTAGCATGGGGGTTCTCAAACTTCCGTTGTCATCAGAATCACTTGGAAGGCTTGTTAAAAACAAGAGATTACTCTTTGAAGGGCTCGACCCCTAAAGTTTTTAATTTAAAAGGTCTGGGCAGGGCCCTAGCATCTGCATTGCTGACAAGTTCCCAGGTTACTATGGAGGCTCCCGATGTTGGAACTGCCAACCTCTGGGAGATACAACTCTAGGTGTAAACCTATTTAGAGCCTTTGCTCTAAACATGTACCAACCAATTTCCATTAAGGGGGATGCTGTCTTTAGAACTAGCCCTCATTTCTAGGGGCCCATCCTTGAGCAGATCACCTAACCCCTCCGGCTTGGTTCATGTGGGTTGCTACATCCTCTGAGACAGTGGGTGTTCGTTGGGGCTGTTGCGTCATACAAGGCGGTAGAGGTGAAAGGGATCCCCAAAGACTGAGGAGTGAACAAATGTTAGTTGTGGTTGATTCACTCGTGGCTTCTGGGTCCATACACAGAAGCTGGGGCTGCACTCGTTACAGATGGAGGCTGATGCAAGCCCGAGGTTGGAGGGTGGGGGTTGATTAGCAGTCAAAAGCCTAGACTCCATGTGTCTGACTTGAACCAGATGAAACCAGGGCTAGGTCACTTCATTCTGAGTCCCACCTTCCCTCTTTGTGGATGAAGAATGAACTTGGTGGTTTTCCAACCAGGCTGCCTGGGGTCTAGGGCCTCTGGGGATGCCTTGAAGGTGAGCCTGTGGGAATGCACCCAGACTGGATTTCCATAAAGGTGGTTTTTGTGAAAAACGGCTCCACTAAAAACAGAACCAGCTTAAAAACTACTAGGAAGGGGGCACCTGGGCAGCCCAGCGGGTTAAGCATTGGACTCTTGATTTTGACTTGGGTCATGATCTCAGGGTGGGATCCAGTGGAGTCTGACCTCCCACGCAGCAGGGAGTCTGCTTCTCTCCTCTCTCTCCCTCTAGCCCTCCGTCTGCTCGCTTGATCTCAAATCAATCAATAAATCTTAAAAAAAAAAGTCATTAAAAAACACTACCAGAAAGATGATCTTTATTTAGCATTCAAAGTTCCCCCTCAGAATCATGGAGAATGTACCCAGAAGAGCACAGTTGTTCTTTTCTCTCACCATTGAGGTGAAGATGGGGAAGATTATGCCCTCAGGCTGCCTCTCTCTCATCTGCCCTAACAGTGATCTGTTGTCACCCAGACCTCTGACTCCACGTGTCACCACCCTGGAGAGAAGACAGTGGTGCCATGCTGAAGGCCAGGAGTGGGGTGTGGGTGGCATCCCAGCCAAGCTGGGAAGTTGCCTCCACCAATGCAGAGAGAGCATTCTGCCCCATGACAGTGCCTGTCTCTGGTGGACCTGTTCTAAGTCCTAGATCCGGTGTAAATTATTTGACAAGAGGAGTTTTTGAGAGGAGACGCATACCTTGCCCATCTCTGGAAGTTAGTGCCCAGTTCCAAGACTGGTATTCAGCTGGGTCTAGTAGTTCCTGGCAGGTGCCTGTCTTAACTGGTGAGATGGCAGTTCCTAAACGGTTAGGGTACGTGTCTTACTAGTTTTGACATCGGTTCTAAGCCGTTAGGGCACGTGTCTTACTAGTTTTGAAATATTTTGAAAACCTCTGCCCCTAGTTGTTACAATGGCTCTCCCACAGCAGGCACGTGATGAAAGGAGGCTGAGCAAAGGGGACCTGAGTTCAGTAGCAGAAGTGGGTGGCACAGGGAATGGGCGGCTCCTTCAGACACCAGGAGACCCCAGGGGAGACCCCCTCCTTCCCCACCTGCCATGTACTCACCCCCTTTTGGAACCTTACTGACCGCTCATGATTTCGACTAACCCCCAAACAGGGGAGCTCACATGGACACATCAACACAAACATATGTGAATGTTCTGACTCAGAAGGATACCGGGAGAAAGTCCCCAAGCACAGAAGTCTAAGTCGGGTGCCAGTGACACCCACTGCCACAGGGGTGAGCAGGACCTGTGGGCATGGCCTCCAGCGGTCCCTGCCATCCGAGCTACCCCAAAATGAACGTATGACCGAGTCCCTCCTGGCCTCAGACCCTTGGTGGCTCTTTATCTCCTAGCAGACGAACACATTTTTAAAGTATACACTTAAACCTCTCATGATCTGACCCATGTATCGGCCTGATAGTCCTTATTTTGCAGTTTATTTTTGGAAACAGGGAAGGGACCATCATCTCGACACAAAACAGCACACACGGTGGTTGAGCAGGTCATGCTTTGCCTTCTCCCGGCCCTCCCCACGTCCGTCTAACTCCTCCTCATTTTGAGAGATTTAGGGCCATGGGGGATGATCTGTTAAGTAATTTAAAAAGAAAAATACTTAGATAACATTCGGCTGATATTTATTGGCCCACGTGTGTTCCCTTGAATTTTAAAACCTGTTTTGATTTGCCCTTTCTCTTCTCTCTCTTACTTGCCCTGGAAAACTTTCGGGTAATGTTGCAGACATGGCTAACTGCTGACCCAAGGTATACACGCTCCATCTTTCTTGCCATGAAGACCCTGCTTTGCTTGGGCAGCACGTGTGGAGTTAAGGCAAGGACTTGCTCTGCCTGGGGCTGGCAGGGGCCCCAGGACTCACAGAGAGCAATGAGATTGAAACTGGAGCTGTGGGCTGTGGCTTCTGGAAACACTTTTCCAAAGGGGGCAGAGTTGGCTAGCTTCTTCCTTTTTGATCTTTGCCCCTCCTGTTATCTGGAATGTGGCTTGATATCTGAAGGTCTACAGGGGTCTTGCAAAAATGATAGCAGAACAGGAAAACGGAAGGAGCCTGGCAGGTTGCTGACATCTACTCTGGTCAGGGCTCTGGTTATATCACACGAGAAATACCCTTTATTGGGCGTCTGGGTGGCTCAGTCAGTTAAGCAACTGACTCCTGATTTGGGCTCAGGTTGTGATTTCAGGGTCATGAGATCACACCCCGCAATGGGCTCTGTGCTGAGCAGAGAGCTTGCTTAATATTCTTTCTCTCTCCCTTTTCATCTGCCCCTCTCTGCCACCACCCCTGCCCTTGTTCTCCCTCTCTCTCTCAAATTAAAAAAAAAAAAATACTCTTTATTCATTTGGGTCATTCTAGTTGAACTCTGTTACCTGCAGGCAAATGTTATTCTGACAAAGATCTCCCCATCCTGGACTTCCTTCTCCAAGAACAAGGTCATCTTTTGGCATTCTGACATCCTATGATTTCTTTACCTCCTATTTATGATGAGTTTTCATAATGAGATAATTAGATCTTATGACAATTTAAAAAAAGTATTTTATTGACTTATTTGACAGAGAGCACAAGCAGGGAGAGTGGAAGAGGGAGAAGCAGTCTCCCCACCAAGCAGGGAGCCCAACAAGGGACTCAATCCCAGGACCCTGGGATCATGACCCAAGCCAAAAGCAGTCACTTAACCAACTGAGCCACCCAGGCATCCTAGAGTTACAATTTCTTATAACTCTCCCCACCTTGCTATTTGCCAACCCAGTGCTTGTGGTGGTTATGAGGACAGAGATGAATGAATTGGGTAGGAATTGGAAAAGTTATAGTAATTTGAATGGGAGATATATTCAGTTTCATTGGGTATAAAATATTGAGACTGGCACCTAATAAATGAACAGTATGCAAATCCAGTCAGGATTTTTACAGTGCTATTAAAAAACCATTAGATAGTATAAAATACTGGGAGCCCTACAAAGGGACCCCTAAGAAGAAATATTAGCAACTTCCCCAACAAATTTATCCTTCTCTTGATAAAGATCCTATAAGTATATAATGAGAGAATTGGTATTTAAGGGGATAGATGAGCCTGACTTGGATGGAGATTGGAAAAATTACAACAGGAGTGAGGAATATAACCTAGTTGGACTTTGGGGAAAAAGTTTACCTTTGAGCTTGAACTCTAGATGTTTCACAATCTGGTAAGTATTAGGTGTTTGGTAGTTTCCTGAGATTCTGTAACTATCTTCATCTTCCCTGGAGAGCTCAGAGAGTGTACAACTCTTGGTGGACTAGAAGGACTGGTGTTCTAAGATAAGCCACATCTAGAGTGGGTTATTTCCCATGCTTCTGTAGTTTTAAGAATGTGGAGTCAAATTGTCTGGATTTTAATCTTAGCTGGATTGAGCAAGTTAATAACCTCTCTGGGCCTGACTGCTGCCGTTTGCGAAATGCTGACAATAATGATATTCACCTATTGTGTGAGGCAATTGAAATTAACCAATATAAAGCACTTAGATCAGTGTCTGGAACTTAGTAAGCTGTCAGTACAGGCTGTTGTGTTGATTATTGATTATACCGTGATATGATGTTCTATTTCTGTGTCTGTTTATTCCACTAGATTGCCAGCTCCTCCAGGGCATGAAACACGTCTTATTTCTTCATGTGGTGGGTGCTCAGATAGTATTTAAACCATCATTGTTGATGCACACGAATGAACGAAATACTCCTCTGATACTGTCCTCCCTGTGGGAAGTATCTTATTTTACAAGGTGTCTTACTTTGCAGATTTATGTCTTATCTCTCCCCCGCTTACCCTAAGCTCCTAGCTCCTGTTCCTCATCCCTCTGTTTAGTAATAACATAACTCAATAAACATTTGTTGAGTAGATGAAACCGTAACCCAACCCTCACCTACCCAGAGTCATCCTTGTCAATTTCTGCCACGAACTCCGGCAGAACATGTACTCCTGTGAGAGCAAGCTGAGCGCTATTCTCTAAATGTGCCCCTTACTTCATGGCTCCACTCGTTGGCTCAGGTAGTTCCCATCTGCCTGCCTATATCCACTTTGCCTGGCAAAACCTCCTTCCTTTCTAAATTCCAGCTTAGACACTCTTCCTCCAGAAATACGCTCTGATCCATTCAGGAAGAGCCATAACTCTCCTCCCTCCCTCTTCTACCCCTACCTTGTCTTCTTACTCTGTAATGATTTTACTAAAGTTTGATACTTTGTCTTCTGTATTATAGAACCTAAACACCTCACCTAGTACTTGACATAGAGCAGGTATTCGAATAAGCTTCTTAAAGGAATAGGCAAGTTTGTCTATAGAATGACATACAGACAGTCTTCAAATAAACATGTTTTTCCATAATGTCATAAATAAATGATCATATGCATTTACAATAGCAAAGTGCAGTATCCATCTCTCCCCTCTCATTACTCTATCCATTTCCCCTTATCCAGGATGGCTTTTGACATAAGGCATCCATTTGGGAGCACTTAGGCCAGGATTTGGAGTTCAAATTGCACACATGGAGCAGAGGGAAGACAATTGGCTGGCACAGGGTTTGAGCCTTGACCTTGGCTTTGCTGCCTTAGTGTTCAAAACCCAGTGATGCTCATTCTGGAAAGGTGGGCATGCCCTTGGGAGGGCATCACAGAATCTCTGTGGACATGATATTTTTATGTTCATGAGAAGAAGGTATGGGTTAATAAAAATATCAGAATTACAGGTGTAATGATATGAAGACCTAGGAGAACAATGAGAAAGAACATCTGCATGTAGTAACATGAAGAGACACGAACTGGTAGAGCTAACCTGCCCCGAATCCCCCATGCCTGCCAGTGGACCAGATTTCTGGCTACTCTATAAAGGACCCTGTGTCTGTGTCAGCCAGGCTCATTCAGATCATTGGATTAATGACACAAACGCAATGAATTCAGAACAACCTTGAATTTAGGTCTTGTGTTGGGAGGGAGTGTTGGTGGTTCCAAACTGGTGTCTTACTTTTGCTATTCCAAAAAGAATTGCTTCTTATAAAAAAAAAATGTCATGCCTGCAGGATTGTCGTGTCTAGTTCTAGACTGATTATTTGCTGGAAGCAATTACTGTAATAAAATCAGAATTTTTTATTTCCCTTCCTCTTAAACAAAATGGCATGTGTGTGGGGTAGTGGCATCCTGTGTGGCGGGCGGGGAGAGGAGTTTTTGATACCTAATTTCCTCAGAGGGAGGTTAAGCTAGGAGACAAACTAACTAAATTAAAACATGTTTGGGGTGTGGCTGGTAACCCACTGTTTCGGGGTATATATGGTATAACTTCAAGCTACCTTTGTTTGGAAAAGCACAATGAAACAAACAAAGAAAAGCATTTTTCTTCTTTGTTTGTTTGATGCTTGGCTACTCTGGTTATTTGCTTCAGGACAAAATTCTGGATCCTGGAGGTTGAATAACTGATACCTGACCCAGACTTTGCAGCCCTCTTAGGCTCGCTGGCCTCCCCACTCCTCTCCTTTCTCTCTACCCCCGCTCCCCGTTTAGAAACCCAAACACAATCACACTAACCCTGAGTTGTGTCGCCCCAGGCCAGTCAAATTCTGAAGGTACTAGTCCCATAGTTGCTGGAATAATCTTGTCTCTTTTCCGGTACCAGAACTTCTCCTTATTCTGTCCTCTGCTGAAGATTTAAAAGTCTGTGGTGTGGGCTGAGGCAGCAACAATTCGGAGAATCTAGAGAATTTTCCCCCCACTGCTGAACAGGCTACACACCCGTGTGTCAACACTCAACAAGAAGTTGCTCTGCTGTGTTGGTGCCAGAGAAGTTTTTGGCTGGTGGAAATGTGTCCCCCCCAACGGACCTCAAGTGCATACACGTGGTAAGGAATACATTGGTCTCGGTAAATAGTTTATTTTAATTTAAAATCAGCTGGCACTTAGTGAGCATCTAAGTACTTTAACATGCATTATCATATAGATTTTCACAAGCACCCTACGAAGTGGAAATCACTGTTCTCATTTTAGAGCCAAGAAAACTGCATCTTACTGAAGGTTG